GTTAGCGGGCATTAACAATACCAACCTTTTGGTGCTTGACATAATACTATGATAAATTTGGTGAGTATTAATGCCGAATTGGATCAGCTTAATCATGAGGCGAGTTGGGTAATCATTCTTTTGTCATTTTGAGCCATATTTTACTTATTGTGTGGATGGAGTTAATGTTATGAGTGCAGGTTTTTATAGATTAAAGTATCATTAAAAAGTAAATTTAGTTAGCGGGCATTAACAACTTATCATAAAGGTAGGTTGTCATGTTCTTTTTGATTACTAAGCATTTCATCTAGAAGTAATGGGGCTACACATCGAGTTGGATTCCTTCTCCATTTATTACCGAACGATAAAAAAAAAATTATAATTATGCCATTCTATTTACGATAAGTAATAAAGTTATGGTGCAAAAGTTTTTAAGTCCTGTGATTAATGCCCAATCGGAATGTATGATCCACGTGTAACACAAAAGAAAACAAGATGAAAAACCAGTAAGCCGGATTTTGTGTATTATTTTTTTATTAGCGGCGTTATGGGTAGTCACATGACCAAATTTTCTTGCGCCATGACTTTTGATACCTTCACAATGGCAAATATTAATGGTAGTATCTTGCATTGTTGAATTGCTAAATAATCTCTATAATAAGCCTTTAATAAAATTTCAACTACTAAACTTCCGTGATACAATTATTCTTAAATATTGCAAGTTGCACTATTTAAAAAACCAAGCATTTAAAATACCAAATTTTTAATATTTTCCATTACAAAATTGCATTATACATATATACCTGAAAAATATGAACTAAAAATCACACGGCCAAAAAAAATTTGCTATTTTTCCAAAACGCATTGGCCAAGTAATATCTATTACGAGTAACATTAAGTAAATAAACCACCAAATTGACTCGCATAAGCCATAGGCCGAACGTTGGGATGGGGCTGTTAAATAAAAACAATTTAAATTATACAGTTCAGAGTAAATTTAATGAAAAAAATGAAAAAAATTCTTACCACTGCTTCAAATGTTTTATAAGCTAACTGTAAGTCTGGTGTAATATTAATTAATGCTCCTTTGTTTCCAATGGTATCACTAATATGGATGAAAGATTAATTTAATTTAACTTAGAAATAAAATAAAGTATTCATAATATAAATCTCGTTACCAGTAATTGGGGGCGGAGAATACAGTAATGCATTTGCCGTTATGTTCGACTACATAACCATTTTCTTTGACCTCGTGACTTCTTATTAGTAAATCTAAGTTTGCGGTCAAGTCGAACAGATGCGTTTAGTAGCTAAGAAATATTACTATCAAAATTTTGCAAGTATAATTTGAGACACACCAATATTATTACGTTTCAAGAACTTTTCAGTGACATCAGGTCCAAATTGTATTCCAACGCCTCGTTTACTCGGGCCACGTCCCGGGAGTAGTTGCGGATCTAAAAATTAGATAAATGCCATGAAACTTAATATTATTAATCAGAACAAACCTTTCTGCAAATAACATATTTTAATTACCAGACCACAGGAGTTCACACATTAAGCTTCCGTGTTCAGGCTGTTTCTTGTCAATTCTATCAATATTTCTAATATCATCTAGTGTGACATCATCTCTACTGAATAATCCACCATGAACTACCAAGATTTTTTGATTGATAAGATGTGCAAGTGGAAGGGCAGTAAATGTCTCGGAAAATAATTCAAACATCTGTTCAGAATATTTAGCCTTAACCTCCCCTTCAAATCCATAAACCTTGTTCATATCATCCGTTTCATGGTTGCCTCTCGTCAAATAGACAGAAGTTGGGTATAACCATTTAAAAGCGAACAAAGTCAGTATAACCTCAACGCTAAATGATCCACGATCAACAAAATCACCATTGAAAAGATACATGTTCTCTTCAGATGGTAATCCATTGATCTTAAAAATATTGAGGAAATCATAGAATTGACCTATGGAGAAGTATTTTAATAATACTAAACTATTATTTCAAACAACAATAAATCAACAAATACCAACCGTGAACATCTCCGCACACAGTTAATTTGCAGTTTTGAGGTATATTTACGTCCACCAACGATGGTAATTCTAACATCATTTTCCGTACGGTCAAAATTATCTGTTTCAACCCTTTCATTAATTCTCACATTTTTGCAAGAAAGAAAATGTTTTATAAATAAAGGAGATGTATTTACATACTTGAAATGCATATTTACGATGAATCTTTTTTTGATTTTTAAAACATTCCATCATCTCTTCAATAAATTCCTTCGTAATCTGT